GGAGCAGCAGCAGCAGCCCCGGGAAGGGTGGGGTTTGGACAGGCAGGAAAACCCGCCCCGCCGGGCGGCCCCCTCCCCCGGGGAAGCGGCGCCGGAGCGGCCCCGGCCCCTCTCCGCCAAGCTCGGTTTCCCGGAGCATCTCCGGGATGCTGCTGCCCCACACACACACCCCCACACCCGTCTCCCACCCCGCTTTGTCAGCCCCGCTCCACTCTGCCCCGGCTGCCCGCCCCCCCCCGCCCAGGGACGGCCGCCTTTGTCCCCGGGTCCCTCCTGCCACCGCCGGAGCCTGCAGGTTGAAGGAGCCGGCTCCAGCATCCCTGGGGCCGGCGTGTTCCTTCGGACCTCAGAGGTGCGGGAGGAAACCTCCCTGAAGGCTCAGAGACCGCTTATTCCTCGATAAAATCTGCCCGGGTCCCGGTGGTCCTTACTGGAAGGAGCAAGGCGTGCCAGCATCGCTTCTGCGCACGCCGGCCACATCCCGGTGAAGGGAACAGAAAGTTCATCAAGTGGATTTCCCAGGCGACGTGCAGGCAGATTTCCCATATCCTTGCATCACATCCCCTGACTTTTGGTCTAATGCACTTTTCCTCGGGCCATGCTGTCTCTCCGTAGGCTGCTTTTGGCCGGTATCGCATTGTAAAAATGAAAGATGCACCAGGACAGGGCAGTGCCACCAGCTATTTCCCACAGGAGCACCCTTAAAAAGCCCCAGGGAATCGCCAGCTTTATGTTCCTTGGGGACCCCTGTAAATGATTTGACTCCAGGGTTAACCCAGAGCAACCTCAGCTTTCTGACCACACTGGAAAGCTGGTCAAGACACCCTCTAGCTATAAAGAAACATCAAATCCGATGCCAGAGCGTGGGATGCGGAGCAGATGGCCTGTGCATGGAGGGAACATCAGAACGGAGAGGGATGGAGGATTGCAACTCCTGCCTTTTGGTGTTCTCTTCCGAAGTCGCAGTAAAGCTGCAGTTTCTTGGATGTTTTTCTGCCTAAGTCTGTGCTCCCGGGTTTCCGAGCCCAGATACATGCTTGGCGAACTAAGACAACTGCCTGTTCCCTGCTGAAGCAGAACAGCAGGACTTCCCTGCTCCCAGAGGGAGTTCATCCCCTCCGTGGGTGCTGTTGGCCCTTCTCCCAAAGTAGCTTTAGTTGCTTTATTGTCAAAAGGGTAAGAGGAGATAAGGACAGAGCGTGGACACTAGTTCACTTCATGTGGGTCCCCAGTACAGACATGAAGATGTGAAGAGGACAATTCTCTCCTAGCACATACCCACACCAGGGTAGGTCCCTGGAGAGGAGGGCATCACATTGAACAAGGCAGTGGTGAGGCCTGTTTGCTCCCTTCTTGGGGCACGAGGGCAGCACCAGAGCTCTGCTCTGACCTGGGTGCCCACCTTGGTGGCAGCTCTCCAGAAGCCACGGCCAGTCAGCCCCTCCTCAGTCAGCCCTTAGGGCTTGGTGTCCATGCTGAGAGGTCACTGTTCCTGGGGCCTGGGATCCCTCTGACAGGTCCCAGACAGGCCACAGCCAGCGTGGTGTGTCACCAGGCAGGAGATGTACTCCATCTCCTGCTTCTCACCACCCTGAGCCAGGCCACCAGAAGGTAGCACCCTCTGTAACGGGGCACGCTGCCACTGCTCGTGGCTGCATCGTGTCTCGAAGGCACCCAGGCATTTTCCGAGCCAAGCCATTTATTTACAAGGCTTTAATCACATCCTTCCCCACAGGAAGCGGAAAGTGCTTCTCCCAGACCCTCCCAAGCAGTGATCTGACTAGCAGATCCCCGGGCGGTGGCTGGGGGAAGGAGGAGCAGAGCTGGGGGACCCTGCAGAGCAATCGTTCCTCACTGGCCAAAGTCAGCAGGGGAGGAGAAGGCTCCAGCAGCTGCACCACAGACACAGGTGCAGTGACGCTGTGGAGGTGCCCAGCCCTGGGCCTCGCTGATGCTTGCTTCATCTTTTTTTTTTTTTCCCCAAGAAAAGCTGCTTTTTCTAGGTGAAACATTGCAAAGTTTGAGCTTTATTGATGCCTCAGCAGAGACTGAGCCCGGCAGACAGGGGGGCTCCTCAGAGGAAGCGAGGAGATTATTAATATCCACAGAGGAAGTCCCTGTGATGATTAAGACTTGTTTTCAGCACTCCGTGGGTATGTCTGTGCTTTCAGAAAAGTTAATGGCACAGATCCGCCCCGCTGCCATCCACGAGGGGTTTGCTGTCATTCTGGTGCCCAGGTGGCCATTGAAGCATGGTGACCTGCTGTCCTTGGGCATCCAGAGTCCCGCATGCTCTGGAGGTGGCACTGAAGCTTCTGGGTGCCCGGATGGCATCTGGTCCTGACGAACACCCAGTGAAACACTCCTCCATTAGCAATGAAGAGAGAGGGATGGGGTCAGCAGGTTTGAGTGGGTGAGACCTGAATCAGGTGGACACCACGCATCGTTGCCTGTTCTGCTCCCTCACCTTCCCTTCAAGGCGGATATTTGACCACAGGGGAGGAAAATCCCTTTAGCTTGGGAAGGTGAGGGAGTATTGCTAGAGCAGAGGGGTGAAGCTTGGTGGTATCAGAAAGTGTCTGTGGCCCAGACGATCTATGGGCACAGTGGATCTGAGGGCTGGGATGAGGTAGGTTTTTAAATGTTTTGATACCTTGGAGGGAAAGGACTAGGTCAGTGCGCAGCTTTATGTTCAATAGCAAACCTGGTGTTGCAAGCAGATTTTTAATCAACACAAATAAGGCATAATGTCAGAATATTTTTGACGGGTTTGTGATTTGAGTTTTAGTGAACAAATGCGATTTCTCGGTGTTGTTCAGAAGACATTACAATTTCCCAGTGCCAATTTAAGATGAAGCGTAGGAGAAGTCGGTAAACAACACGATTCCCTTTGGTTACATCTGGCCATGGGGCCTTCTGCAAGCTGCCAGTGAAAAACACTTTTAATATGCATGTCATCCTAAGCATTTGATGCCCATGTCAGGCAGCATCAAAGCCTATCCCTCACATTGAATCAAATGGACACTTCCACCCTCTTCAGTCAGCGATGAAATTTTAAAGAGAATTATAACATGATAAGAATTTTAGAAAAAAAAAAAAAAAAAAAAAAAAAAAAAAAAACCAACCTACTGGGTAAAATTGCTCTTGATGTTAACTCCTGAACTCAGCAGGTGACATAAAAAATGCATTTGGTCCCTGATACAACACAGCGATGCGTAACCTCATTGAAGTCTTACCTGCTCTTGATGTTAACTCCTGAACTCAGCAGGTGACATAAAAAATGCATTTGGTCCCTGATACAACACAGCGATGCGTAACCTCATTGAAGTCTTACCAAAGCATTCCCTCTGCAGGGCTGCATCAGTATTACAGAAGGCATCCTCCACAGGGTCTGTGCTCCCCCCCACGGCCCCCCCGGAGTGGGGGGGCTCTCCCAAAGTGGGAGTGGGCAGAGGGGCAGGAGGAATCCCAGTGGGACTCCCCCAGAACGTTGCTTTTCCAAGGCCACCTAGGAAGTGGGCACAGCTGCGTGGGCATCACGGCCACGTGGGCATCACGGCCACGCTCCAGCTTGCACACGCCGAGGGCCCGTCTCATACAACACGTACTCCATGAATCATTTACATGGGTAATAAATCCTCTGTGGCACTGGTACGCTCTCATAAATCAGCACCAAGGACTAATCCTTAATTCATGTTTTGAAACACACCATCCAGATTGCGACAGCGGGAGCTCTCTTTTGTGCAACAAAGCTGTGCGATAACAAAAAATGTGCAACACTCCTAATCTCGCCTATCAAGACAGGTACCTCGCTTCTAGCCTGATTAAGCACTTTTTTTTAGCCTGGAATGTTTTTCCAGGTAGCAGCTACGTGAAGAACTGTCATGCTTCCTTCTTCCTTCTTCTCCCAGATCAGCTGAACCTTCCCGTGAAAAGTCTTCAGCCCTTGACTTGCCCATCTGGCTGAGCTGTGAGGAACAAGCAGTCCCTTAGAAGATTAGGCAGCACTCCTTAATGCTGGCTTCTGGCAATATAACTGAGCCATCCAGTTCATTCAGTGTCCTTATGAAAGTAGCAAGTATTAGTGGAAGGTTTCATCTTGTATCCACAAAGCCTTTTATTTTGTGCCCTGAAACGGCTAGTAAAGTTCTAAAGTGCAGCGACTTGTTTGAAAGCCTTCAGGATATTTAGAGATGCATTATGGTTGTGACCAGCAAACTCTTCGCCGTGCCAGAATAACAGGTCCTCCAAAAAGCTTAACCAGTAGCCTCTGAACACTGTTACAAAGAGCAGCATCCAAACCACAGACCAGGGGAGGTGGAGAGCTGGTCCTTGAAGGAAGGCGTGGGAGGTGTGTGTGCTCAAAGTATGCCTTGAATTACAGCTATTTGCCAGCCCCATTTCAAAGTGTCCTGCATTCACCTGAGAGGTCCACATTCACGTGTTGGGTCCAGATCTGCTCCATGCAGTCACCTTTACAGGGCTGTTGGAGCACTACCAAGCCAAAGGTTTTGTCTTAGCTACAGAATAGACATATACCATAAATTTGAGTCAAGTAGAAAAAGCCCATAAAAATCCTTTCACCCACAGCTTTCACCAAACTTTCACTTCATTTTCCTGGAAGTTTCTGACCATTTATTTCAACTCAAAATTGAGTTTTTTTCACCTCACCCTTAATCTGTATGTTGGTAAAGGACTGGAAGCTGAATCCTAAGAAGCAACAGGCATATGCTGCTCCTAGCTGGGAGCTGCAGGTGATTGACACTTCCCAAACTCATACATAATAGCTAGAGCAAAAATTCCA